CTGAAAATGGTGAAACGTTTCGCCAATCGCAAAACAGTTTCGTTTGAAACATTAATGCAGCAGGCGCACTGATGGCATTCCAACAATGCGAAGTATTTGGTTTACATGGAATTCTTTTAAAAGGTTAATTTCATTTCAAATTTTAATATTCTATCTCTTGTACTCATAAATTGTAACAAAGTTAATTATTATTGAATTTATATTATGATTAATGCTGTAGTATAATTTTTTTTAATGTTATTACTTATTATTATAAATAAATCGTAAATTATTATTTATGTGATTTTCAAATTCTTCAAGCGTTATTAGATTTTGATTATGAAGTTGAATATGTTCTAACTTGGCATATAAGCCTTTATCTTTATTAAATTTGAATTGAAGTTATAAATATAATATAATATAAAGAAACAGTACAAATGAAGTAAACAAAATTAAAGCTATATAGTCTTCGAAAAAGATTTCAAATATCTAGTCTATCACGTGATTAACTAATAGCCAATAAAAACTCATTATTTTGTAAGAAAAGTAGACACAAGCGTGGATATGAAAGGAAATTGGCAAAAAAAGAACCTGAAGTTGCAGCGGATTGAATTCAAATTGTGAGATGAATTTCGATACAAAATATTGGCGGATAAATTGCATTTACGTGATTTTTCTTTGTTTCCGATCATCTAAAAATGAAAAATCACCTAATTTTAAACGCTTATTCCGTCGTTATGTTAAAAAAAAAACGCTTATAAATTCTTATGTAGACATTTTTGAAAATCTCTCCGGTAATTTAATAATATTCATCTTGAAGAATAAAGTTACCAGTTATTTTCTTTAGAATTTTATTTTTTTAGTGTTGGAAAGATTTATAAATATCCTCAATTTTATTGTCATTTATAGACTTCTTTTTTATTTTATATCTTGAATGAAAATGGTATCAGTAATAACTACAAAGAGACTTTATACAAGAATCGAATAGTACCAAAAAAACTGATGAGAAAAGTCGCCTTAGCTTATGACAACTTCGCTTCGGTGTCGAGTATAGACTTCCGGCAGAATGTGGATTCATATGAGACAGAGTTGGTAGCATGAGATTGGTGTATAAGAAACTGTTTCATTTCTTTGAGTGGGTTCTTTTTTTGGATTGGGTAATATTCCTATTTAGCTTGATTGTGACAACGTGGGTTCCAGATGTCTTTCCTAAATTGATTGATAAAAAGTAGTATGTAAAGCAGACAATGCTGCGTATCTAGATTTGGTAGGAACATTGAGTTCGAGCAGAACCTTAGAAAATTCTTGTAGAATAAAGCTTCTTATCGCTTTGTAAATTTTATTAAAATCTCCTTGCTTCAGCAATGAATTTTACATCTTTGGATTGGTCATAAAGCACAAACACCATTTTTCCAGCTAATTTATTGGTGTCTGTAGGGAGATTAGTCTACCTCAATTGCCGCGGCATTAGATCTTCAAGACCGGGGTTCGATCTCCATTTTAACCAGAGACCGATTCGGAGAATATTTTTGAGAAAACCGGTGACCGGTTTCTAACATAAAACCGGCTTGAATATTTTAAACCGTTATTAAAACTCGTGTAATCTCAAAATTTTCGCAAATGTTAATATGCACGTGAATTATAATATCACATGACATAACTAATTCTTGAATTTGACATTCCTATTTAAAATTTAGAGTAAGTGTTAATTCTAATACTAGGAAACGGGAACCGTTGGAAGTCCGGAGCGAAAAGCTAAAACTTGCGATTTCATTGGGTGACGATCACGTAGCGGACAGAGAAATTCACGTGATTGATTTTTTTTTCATAGTGCGTAGACATATATTGTCCTTCGCTTCGCTCCGTACGATTAATTTTAGTGTGAATTTTAATATAGACTTTAATAATATAATTTTAATTTTTAACATAATAGTTGAGTGTTCATGATAAAATAATTGTTATACCTGCAAATAATTTAATTTTTATTCCAAAAAATGGTTTCAAATTGTAATATGGTTTTAAATTACACTCTGGTCTGTACTTATAAACCAGTCTTAAACAAAAAACCGGTTCGCCGAAAAAATGAGCTGAAACCGGGCTGTATAGGCGAAGATCGGGTTGAAAGCGATTTCGGGTTTGTAACCGGTCTTAGAGCACTACGCTGCAGCTTGTTCAATTTTTCCAGTGAATATTTTTACACATTTTTTGTAAAAGTTTGGTCATGAAGAATCTTCTTTGGAGGACGACGATAGTTCATCATCGAATCGTCGTGAACAAAGCAAGATCTGCAAATGCGAGTGGGATAACACGGGCCTGGTCGTTGTTGCTTGAGTTTTTTTTAAAGTGGGCAACTCATCAAAAAACAATTGGAACTAAATTTAAAACTAAGTAAGTTGCTTATTTTAATAGAAGAGTCAAATTTTAATTTGTTAATTGGTTCATGACGTTTACATTACATTAGAATAATTAGATTCTAAATTGATGAATATAATTGAAAAAAAAATTTGAGTGACGAAATTGATCAAATAGATATTTATCACCTTGTTAAATACCATACTTTTTTGCTAGTTAGATACTAGTTAAATTCTATTAATTCTCCAGAATAATTCTTCAATATTTATATAAGGCCAAGTAAATAAAATTTTTCGTTTTTTATAATCGGACGGGCCACATAAATGTATTTTTTTGGTCATGTGACACCGGCCGGGTGTAAAATTTTTTTGACCAAAAAATATTTTTTTTTTATATACTTATTTTTATTAACATCAAAAAATTCTCCTTTAACGGAATCTCCTACTTTTGTTTTTAATAAAAATTCATGATAATCTCTATTTATAAAAACTTCAGGTGAAACTTGCCCAATAGCTAATGAATTGAAAAAAATTCGCATAATGAAGGATTTCCAATAACAGAGTGTATTTTACTATTTAAGTAATTCTTTTCTATTACTTAATACAACCTTTACATTTACAGAAGGTATTTTTTGATATATAAGAAAGAAAAACTATAAATTTTTATTAAAAAAAACTCATTATTTAACAAAAAGAACTTAAAATTTTTGTTAAAAAAAAACACTGAAAAAAAAATTTGAAGTTTACATTTTGTCCAATCGTAATTTAAGGAAAAAAAAATTATAAACTTTTGCCCGGTCGCCGGGTGGAAAAAAAATTTAATTTTTTACAGTATTAAACCGGCCAATCAACATTTAAAGATTTGCTAAATTTTTTTTTTTACTGTAAATAATTTTTTTTTCCGGACGGAAGGGTCAGATTTGGGAATTATTTTTCATGAGAAACGAAAAATTTTATTTACTTAGCCTAAATGGATTTGAAAACTCTAGTGCATAGCTAATGATAATTAGTCAAAATATTATTGAGAAATAAAAATTACTTTTAGTTGTTTTTTTTTGTAATAAAAAACAAAACTCTTTACTAAAAAAAGTTTTAGAATTAATTTCTGAGTTAAATTAGGTATCATGGTATGAAGTTTTACAAAACTAAACCTCATAAACCCTAAACTTAACTTATGGATTAAAAAATTTGTTAGATTTCTGTATCGTATGATTTATCATCAACATATATACTAATGATCTCACACATTATATAAAACCGGACCATTCACCATTATCCTCATAAAACCATTGTAAGATAGGAACGAAAGAATAGCGAAAAGAACATTAGTATAAATGATTAAAAGGTTAATAGTTTAAAGTGCATAGAAATATTGATCATTTAATTTAAACTTTAAATGTTTACATTATATGTTCATATATGATTCAGGTGTGACTTGCGTGAACCGTCGGAGTGTCTGAACGTTCATATTATATAAAAAAGTGTATCACTAGATTATAAAAATATTTAATATAATAATTTAAAATTTAAAATATTATTATAAATTATTATAATTATTATTAGATGACGCTGGAAGAAAAATGTATGGGTGATATTTTAGTCTTTAATTTTTTTTTTAATCTGACAGGTGTATATTAATACTACTGTGTAACAAATTCAATTGCGTTAGCGTTGTCGATAAAAAGTAGGAATCAAGTTTTGATAAATGATAAATCAATATTTTTATCTTAGCAGATACGATCAGACTTTATTTAAGTAAAAACAAAAGATAAGTTCTATAATATAAATCAGGATTGAAAAGAAAAATACCAAAATGATCCCAATATTGGCATATTTAATTTTTAATGTTAAAGTCATAATTATTTGAAATGCTGTGGCTTACATTGTATTCAATCAACGATTTCACAATCCAGACATTCAGCAGTATTGTGAGAATTTTGATAATCTTTTTATAAAGGGTTAAAAATTAATGTAAATAACTTGAACAATTAAACAAAAAATATTTAAAATTATTAATACCTGAATATACTGGATATTGCATACTAGATATATCATCATAATTACTATAATAATCATCAGGATTTTTTGGTTTAGGAAGGTTATTAAAATTTAGTAATCTACTTGTATAAATAGCTCCAGGATGCGGTTTATTTTTTAAATTTTTAATAGCTGATAAACGATTGTTTTTTATTATTTCTTCAATTTGTTTAGTTAATTCTGTTTGAATTAATTCTTTTTGATTTTCCTTACTCTTTAGGTATGAGTGGATTTCATATGACCATTTAGAAATAATTCTTGAAAGATCCAATGCATTTGGTCTATTTGATGGGTCTGCATCTAAACATCTTTTAATTAAATCCAATATTAATTTAGGTACCTTAATATTAAATCTTGGTCTTAACCCTTCACAAATACTTAATGCTAAACATTCATCATGAGCAGTATCATAATATGGAGTTAATTCTGAAATAACCTCATACATAATTATACCAAAACTGTAGATATCAGAAGCTTGAGTGTATTTTTGTCCTCTCATAATTTCAGGAGCTAAATAAGGTAAAACACCGTACACCTTATTTTCCATATTTTCTAATTCCTTATAATTAACTGGTTTACACAATCCCATGTCAGTTATACTTATTTTTTCATCAAAACATACTATATTCCCAGTATGTAAATCTCGATGAATTAATCCTTTTTCATGAATTCTTTTAAGACCAATTGCAATGTAATTTAACTTTAAAAATCTTTTATTCAACTTATGAAAATTAAGAAGGCCGTTGTTATGTGACCTTCTTTCATTCAAATATTTTCTTAAATTCCCTTTTTTAGCATATTTCATAACCATAATATAATTTTTAGTACTTGGTTCTTGGCTTATTCCATGACATCTAACAACTTGATCTAATTTTTTATCTTCTATTATTTTAATGTGTAATGTGATCTGAAATTATTAAATTTAATTAGTAAATAAAATATCTCAAACTTTTTAACTTTAAATTAACCTATACCTCATTGATAAACTCCAATGTAAGATTTTTTGAATTGTTCAAAACTTTAAGAGCTACGAATCTATTTGAAGAAATTCTTCGTCATCGATTTTTATTAACATCCCAATGTAATATATTACCATCTTTCCAAGATGCTTCATATACTTTTCCAAATCCGCCTTCAGCAATATATTTAACTGCATGAAACCTATCATAAGGTATCCATTCTAATAATTGTTGTTCATTTTTTGCTGATAATTGATTGGTTTGAATAAACTTATCTAAATCATCATTACCACTAGTCCAATTATTAAAATTTTGTTGAAATCTTTTTGAATTGCAAGTTTGACACCAATCCTGTCCAGTATTTGCTTGTTTGCATTCTATACATTTTCCATACTTTTTTTCTCTATAATTATAAATACAAGCATAACACCATCCCATATTTATTGACTTTATTTGCTCACATTTCTTACACATTCCATATTTTTCTTTCAAATTTGAATCACAGGTTTGACATACGAGTGATATACTTGTTTGTTTGCATTTCATACATCTTCCATAATTTTGTTCATAATCACTTGATTGTTCCATGTTAAAAAATAAATTTTTTCTAAAAAATTTATTTCAAGAAAAATTCTGCTACGAATAACGAAGAATGGTTTTTTATATATTGTTTAGATGATCGATGAGGAAATTTTGTAGTAAAGAAGAAAGTACGTCGGTTTAGCGGAACCTCTATTTACCCTATTTAGGGCAGTGACATTAGCCACACCCCCAGGTAATGATCTTTTTTAACCAATTATATTCAATTATAAATTTAATACTAATTTCAACCAATAAAAATGTTTAATTTTGTTTCACGTAAGATTTTGCTTAACTAAAATATTAGCTAATATATGTATGGAACTAAACTTATGTTGGCAATCATTTGTCGATCACATATGAGATCAAATTCAACAACAAATCAGAATATTTTATAAATAATATAAATTATTGTATATTTTTTTTAAAACTATTTATGAAATAAATAAAAGGATTCATAAATTTATTATTAAATATGAATATAACGATTCACGTAGTGTACAGCTCATATAAAATTTTTTACATATATGAAATAAAAGCCGTTCACTCCGCATCATTTTGTTACGAGAATCTGAAATTATTTGCCAGGCCTTATAAAGCAAAATGTAAATAACTTTAAAAATTTTCTTGATAGTTAAAAATATAATATGTATCGTTTAAGTCTTTGATGTTTCTAACAAAACTGCTCAATTACAAACTGATTTTATTTATGTAAAGAAAAGTTTACATGATATTCTATAATCAGTGTTGAACAAAAATTATAAATACAATATTTGCTTTTATAAAAGAAAAAAAAAAGAATAAGAATAAGAAATGTATAAAAAAAATATTAATAAATCAAAAGTTTATAGATTTAATGAGTGGTTTCGCATTCTATCATTAACCTTCTATAAAAATTTATTAATTAATATAAATAATTTGATAGATAAATAAATAAATTAAATAGTTCATTTAATACCTGAATATTTCATGTTTGATATATCATCAAATGTTTCATAGTAATCGTCAGAATTTTTTGGTTCAGGGAGATTTTTAAAATTAAATGGCCTACTTTTATAAATAGCTTCGGGATGCATTGTATTTGTTAAGGATGAATTATCGGGTAAAGGACTACTATTCATTTCTTCAATTTGTTCAATTAATTCTGTTTTAATTAATTCAGTTTTCTTTTCTTCACATCTGAAATAATTTTTAAAACCTAGTGACCATCCATGAAGAGTCGTTATAATTTCGATTGGTTCTGGCCGATTTAATGGATTTGCATCCAAGCATCGTTTAATTAAATGTAAAATCAATCGGGGTAATTTAATATTAAATCTGGGTCTTAATCCTTCACATATCTTTAATGCTAAGTTTTCGTCATGAGCGACATCGCAATATGGAAGCGTTGTTGAAATTACTACATACATAACTACACCCAAACTATAAATATCGGAAGCTTTGGTATAATTTTGTCCTCTTAAAATTTCAGGAGCCAAAGAAGATAAAACACCATACATATTATTTTCATTTTCTAATTCCTTATAGTTTGCTGGTTTACAAAATCCTACGTCACTTAAACAGAATACATTTTTATAACGCAATACATTTCCAATATGTAAATTTCGATGAATTAGTTCTTTACTATGAATTTTCCTGAGACCGGTTGCAATACATTGTAAGGTATCGATCTTTCTTCTCCACATTTGTAAGCTCCAATCTAAATTCATTTTGGACAATTCGGGATTTCTAAACCAATTTTCTTTAGCATAACTCATAATCAACACATAGTCTTTTGTATTTGGGTCTTGAGTTATTCCATAAAATATACTTCGAGTTCTAATATAAAATGTAATCTGATTTTTTCAATTAAATAAATTAGTAAAATAATAATAATCTAGAATTTAAACCAAACTTATAAATAATAGCTTTGAAATTATACCTCATTGATAAATTCTAATGTAACATTTTGTGAATTATTCAAACTTTTAAGAGCCACAAAAAAATTATTTTTACGACCATGCCTTTCCCATTGATTTTTACTCGTATCCCAGTGTACAATATAGCCATCTTTCCAATTTGCTTTATGTACTTTACCAAATCCACCTTCCCCAATATATACAACATTATAAAAGTTATCATAAGGCATCCATTCAAATATTTGAAAATGATATTTTGCTGATAATTGAGTATCTTGAATGAACTTATCAATTTCTTTATTACCACTAGTCCAATTATCAAAATTTTGTTGAAATCTTTTTGAATTGCAAGATTGACACCATTTCCTTCCAGTATATACTTGCAAGCATTCTGTACATCTTTTATGTTTATGTTCCCGACAAGTTTCACAATATAAAAAATCTGTATCTTCTTGTTTACATTGAACACACTTTTGATTTTCTTCTTCTTCAAATTGTTGATCCATAGCAAATAAATTAATTAGTTGGTAAATTTTATTGCTGAAAAATATTGTAACGAATGTCTATATATACGTATTTTCGGCTCAAATGATCAACATAATTTTATGGAAACTCAATGCCATTCTTGTTAAGATCTACCTCATTACTAACCGAAATAGTTACAAACTTCATTTATAGCAAGAATGAAAGAATGAAACCAATGCTGTTCTCTTAAAAATTCATAGAAAGTTTATTCGAGAAGTTACTAACCTGTCTCTTATACACATCTAGATGTGTATAAGAGACAGAACCAATGCTGTTCTCTTAAAAATTCATAGAAAGTTTATTCGAGAAGTTACTAACTTTTTATAGTAAGAATCAGGATAAAAAATAAACAGTGTCGACAATAACGATAGATCCCGTTACGGGAAGTTCCCATGGGAAAATTAATTCCTTATTTTTTTTTTACGGATTATTTTTGACGGAATTAATTTACCGAAGGTTTTAACAAAGTGAAAAGGTTAAATTAAAAATATAATAAGACGTTCATTATGCAGTGAATGGTAACACCGGTGCTTATGGTGTCCTGTGTTACGCAATATTAGTCTTGTTACTCAAATACTCGTGACTTCGTTTAGCCATCATCCGATCCAATTAGATTTAACTTAATTATATTATCACCGAAATAATGCTTGTTAACTTATGCCCAAATTATACCTAAGGAAATCGAAGAGGGATATAATTCTTAGAGTTTTATTTAATTCTTTTAATTGAACTGAATTCCTTGGGAAATATTGCTGAGGTAGCAATATTAAATTACTCATTTTTATTTAGTATTTATTGATTTCTTAAATCATCTATTCATTTATTTATTTAATAACTTAGTTAATTACATTTTTTTATTCGTGTACAGTATATACTCGTTCTAATAAAGTTGATTCTGTCTGTTATCATCACGTGAATTTTCAAAGGTAACGAAAAAGCTACTGCAAGTGATTTAACAAGTTAAAAACCGATTTCATCAGTTAAGTCGGCATCACTAATTGCCTAACCACTTGATAATGGAAATATTTATTCTATGTTGTCTCTTTAGTACGTTAAAGATATTAAGTTAGTTGATTTCTCATCATATATATGTTGTGCCCCAAGTTGACGATTGCCCCAAATCAACGATCGGCCTAAATTATCGGCCCATCTTTATAATACCTTAAGAATTTTCAAAGCATTACTTTTCACATATAGTAATCATCGCCAATTTGGGGCATATTGAGATTTGGGGCACAACATATATACGCCACCGCCACTTTTGGTTAACTCGAAATTTTTTATGTTTTGTTATTATTCTATAGTGAATGTAATTTAAACTTTATTTTAGCTATTTTTTAACAATTGCAACAACTAGTTAATGAAAAAGTGGTACTGGAGGACGTATAAAAAGGAATTTCAGCTAATTAATAAATATGTTCTTTGGCCGAAAATGTTGATCCTGTCTAACCCTAACCCTAAAACTATACCGTATAGAATCAATAACTATGTATACAGTATAGATAATAAAACCTATACCATACATACAACGAGGGTCATATAATACTCATTATCGTCATGCCGCTTTATAGATAGTCATTATAAGAACACCAATCTTTTCGTATGATCATTTTTTTTATGTACTATAACGTTAACCTTTATGTCAGAGGACGCTATTTTTTTTACTGTTGTACACGAACTATTAAGTTTACAAGAGAAAAAATATATCGATAACGAAATAATCAAAAAATAGAAAATAGAAAATTGTGAAGTGATCATAAAATTGATATTACTACTATTACTGGTTTAAGGCGCAAAATATCAAAGGTATATACAAAGACAAATATGTGGAATTCAAAGAAGAAATCACTAAATATATTCTCACGATCAATAAAAATTTTACGTTTAACATTATTTAGCACAAAAGATTTGATAAAAACTATTCAACTTATTTATTATAACAAGAGACTATTCTTATATCTAGAAATGACAACACAATATGATTTCAGTCCCAGGTTCCAGTAATTAATAACTATCATGGGCAAGGAACTATCCAATACTTAAAAAAAATGAAATACAGCTAATGATCGCTTATGCAAATGCTTAAAAAAAATGAAAATACGACTAACCATGAATCAATAATTCCAGTTCCAGCAGCAGTAGTTAATAGTAATCATAATAATCGTTAACAAGAAAAAACAAGAAGAGTGTTTAATGATCTAAATAATATTAAAAAATAATGCAAGACGGGATTAAATTTACTGAGATCGATTACCTTAAATATTTGTTAACTGATAACAAATAAGTTTATAAAGTTTCATTAAGTTGTTAAGTCTTATTTTCGTTAATGTAATACAAAATTTTATTATAACATTATAACTTGAGCTAAATTTATAAGTTTCTAATCCCTGTAAAAAAAGTCAATCCGTTTTTTACAGTATATTCCGTCTTTTTCCATAAAAGGCTCATATTTCCGGAATTAATAACCTTATATCACGGAATTTATCAAATTATTTACATTTTCCGTGAATGGATCCGGGAAAGGCTCATTTTTACGGTTTTTACAGAAATAACGGATAAAATTTTTTATAGGGAATAATTATTTATCCCCTCAAAAAGAAAATTTCATTATCAAGTGAATAAACAGCAGCGGTAAAATTTTATGAATAAATTGTTAAAAGATTGTTAGAGAAAAGAAATTTATAATGTATAATCGTATATAGAGATAGAGATCTATTTATCTAATTACAGTAAATTTTTGTGACCGATTTACAGATCTTCGATAAACCAACATGATTATTTATAATGTGATACAAATAATAAGTATTATTTATTTCATGGGAAGTTTGAAATAAATGGACAATCCCCTGGAGCGTGTTACTCATTAAATATTAACTATTTTAACTATTTTAAACTAAAATTAGTAATTTCCCGGCTATCTATATGACCGGGAAATAACTAAACGAAGATTCCCGGTCATTTATAAACTCAGCTAATCACTCGCAATTTTTAAAAATTAGTATGAAGGTGATCATGAGTGACACTTAGTGCGACAGGGGATTAATAAATTTATTTGCGATATGTCGGATTTCTTGATATCTTGGATTTTTCTAATGGGACGAAATGAGTCCAGTTTATCGAGATTGCCTGCGTACATAAAGCCACATAAAGCACGAAGCATAAAGTCAAATAAAATTTCATTTATATTCATGATGCAAAAAAATGATAAGAATCAATGATACAAAGAGTGGAAATAAATATTACACTTTAATAATAAAAAGAGATTAATTACAGAAAAGTTTAATATCTTTATTTATATTTTATAGCTATAATCATACGATTTGTTTACAAAATGTTAATTTATCTGTGCTGAATAGGATGAAGCAAAAATAATCACTTCAAATAAATTTGAATTTGTTATTTTTGTCAAATTTGATGTTGATTTCTTTGTACAAAAACTTTTGCAAGAGAATAAACTTCTCGATTATTTGATGATGTAAGATCTCTCCCAATTAAAGGAAAATAGCACAAACCAACATACAAATTATCATTATCATTATCATCATCAAAATTATTTCCTTCCATAAACACTTCATTTACTTGAACATCACATGGAATCCAAACATATTGTATAACGGATTCATGAATTTTCAATCTAAACCAAAATATTTTTGTAACTTCACAAATTATAATTGCTGCCAAATTTTCGGATGCAATTTTCTCTTGACCTTTAACAATACGTAATTCATTCATAGTTTTGTCTAATTCTTCTTTATAATAAGCAATGAAAGGATGCTCATATGTAATATGGTCTTCTCCATATATATTGGCAAATCCACGATTATTAAGGATTGAATATATATACTGACGCAATTTTGTTGTTGCTACATGTGCTATTTCATCGTTTCCAATGCGATACCTAGAAATGTTAGTTAATAATGTGGATAATAAAGATGCTTTATTAACAATATTTGCTTCAAGATGATAATGTTGTCCTGTACTTTGAAAGTATTTTGTTGCATAGGATAATATTGTCTNTGGATAATAAAGATGCTTTATTAACAATATTTGCTTCAAGATGATAATGTTGTCCTGTACTTTGAAAGTATTTTGTTGCATAGGATAATATTGTCTCAATAATATGGCGTTGTAAAACTGCTTGAATAAGTAATTGATCATCTTTTTGATTTGTAATTTTAATTGAACATTTATAAAGCAATAAAAGCTTTTTAATTTCTTCCATATTAACAATAACATCCTGATTCAAATCAGTTATGTATTTTTTTAGATTATCACTTAATTGTAAGATATCGTTATTTAAACTATTAATATGATTTTGGTTAGTATCTTCTGATTGGTAGTTTGATGTTTCGTCCAATAAAATATTTTGTTGAAAATTATTTTCTAATTGATTCAATAAATAGATATTTTTTTGGTGCAAATTTCCATTTTCATTATCTAATTCTTCCTTTTCTTTTTCTAACTTTTTTAATTGATTCTCTTTCAATTTTACATCTTGTTGTAATTGATTGATTCTTGGTTCTTGCAACTTGATTTTATTTTGATATCGTTGATTATCAATAATTTGATTTTGATATTTTTCTTCAATTCCTTTAATATCGCGTTTTAACTTTTCAACAATTATTTTATGCTGATTAGTCTCATTATTATATTTATTTATTAATGTTTTGTATTCTTCCTGTAAATTAACATAAAGTAGCATTTGGTCTTGTAATACTTCATTTTTTTCTTTAACTTCTTTAAGCTCTTTAATAGTATTTTTTAATTGATTCTTAATACGATTCTGATTAACTAGTAGATCAATATTTATTATCAAAATAAAAATTAAAATTAACGAATATTTTCCTTTAAAAAAAAAAAAAAAAGATTTATTAATTAAAATCTTACCATGATACAAGCCATACAGTACAGCTAGTAGCAAAAAAGGAAAGAAAGTTAATATCATTCTGAATCAAAAAAAAAAAAAGAATTTATTCTCCTAAGCTATGCTCTTACCTCCTCTCATAATAGCGGTAACAGAATAAGGTGGTCTAGAAATAAGTCGTACTCTTGTATTAAATTCTTTTTTAATTCTTGATTGTAAATATTTTGATTTTCCAAGTTCACCGACTAATGATAATGCAAAACAATTATCATCACATAAACGTAATTGGGAGTCAATTAGTTGTATAATCTTTTCTATAATGGGATCAAATATCGCTTTAATATCTTCAAATTTTAACTCAAAAGACCATCCAATTCCTTTTTTATTAGTATTATATTCTTCATTACAATATTGTGCTAAAAAAGGTTGGTGTGCTAAAAATATTATGAAACAAAATTAATTTTTTTTTTTTTTAAAAAAAAAAAAAGATAACTTTTCAATACATTACCTTTTGAATCAAATTTGACGGTATCAAATTCTGATTGGATTCCAGTAAAATTTATCTTGTAAAGTCTAAAAAATACTTGTAATATATATTGTATTTGGTATGGTCGATTTTCTTTAACGTAATTAATTGCAAAAGATCCAACGTTGTTCTCTAAAAATTTAAGAAATTCTTGATCTACGGAACTACTACCACAATCATTTCCAATTCTTTCTGCTATCAAACTTAGTCTTTCATTTTCCAAAAGCTGCCTTGTTGTCAAACTTACTATGTCCCCTCCACAATCAATTATCATAAAATTTTCTAAGAAATTTAAAAATATAATTAAGAGAATAATTTTTAACAAATTTATATATCATTGTATGTTATTAATGTTTACTACTTACCACCGACCGATATATTATGAGATTTTAAATATTTCATACAAAAAATCGCAATAGCTTCGGCTATTAAAACGAAATATTTCATAAATAATACGTTGGTTATCACGTGATAAACCATTACATATTACTTACATTCTGTGATAAATTTCAAATTTTGACTATACAGATCCCTTAATAATCCTGCTTTGAAAGCGCATTCTCTTATAGTCCAAGTCGAAATTGTATATTTATCTGGAATCTTTATTGTTTATTTTTAAAATTATTTCTATTAATTTAATTTCATAGTAGGAAAATTCACAACGGAAATATTGGAAATATTGAACATATATACCGCTAAGATAAATAAAATCTGAGTATAAAAATCAACCTGTCGTTCACTACGTATAGTTTGTTCTAAAACTTTTCTCAATTCGTGAAGATAATTAGTAATGGCTATTTCATTGGACAAAGGACCACCTTCCCATTCTATATGAATACGAATATCATTTGGATTCATGTACGAATATGCGAAGCCCTGATTAAAAAAATTATGAACTTGAGAGATTACTTGATTAAATCATGAATAATATTAACTCTTAACAAATATTATTGAGACGTACTGCACAAGAAATTCCGAAATCCCTAAAATCTTATTAAAAAAAAAAACTTAAGCGACCAAAATGACAGCAACAAATATTACTAAATAGTAAATACATACGAATATTTGACTTACTGATACCGACAATACTGCAATAATCATTCATGTTTTATTGAAGAAAAAAAGGGGGCTTTGTAATGGCAAGAATTTATAAATGTGATGTGGTTTAACTTTTATTCATTCACTTAACACAGATTTCGCAGAAATCAAATCTTTGTAGATGGGAAAATATAAAATATCATTTATTTACTTTTTTCACACGATCATACATATTACATAAATCATCGAATCAGAAATGAAAGATCATCATATAAAAAATTCAGATATAAACAAACAAGTCTCAAAATCACGTAGATCTTTCCTCTTTCAGGAATGCGGCCGTGTAGTCCATAAATCGGCGGCGCAGAAAGCGTGGCACGTATCAGTCGTATCACTTCGTACAAGACGAAACCGCTTATTATATTACAACTCATGCCGCCATGTCGGAAGTTTGCACAACATTCAACTACCCCTGCGTAACCGTGAAAAAAGCAGGTGACAAATAATGGGTGACAAATAAGTTTTGGCTAGTTAAAAAAAAACCAGGATAAGCAATAACTAATACTAAAGACTGCGGATTAGGTATCTAATTGACTCAAAAAGTTACTCTTAAGGAATTGATCAATCAAAAATCGATTAATCTTGATTGATCATGTGCAATTGATTTCTTAGTAATCAATTTTGTAGTTCAATCAATCAAAAAAAGGATATTTGGTTTAAAATTGATTGTCTAACATTTTAATAATAATTTTTTGCATAAAAAAACACATAAATGACATAATATTCATATTACTATTAAGTAAATGAGATAAGATTTGTACGTTATTAGTAAGATTGATTGGTAAAATTGTGAGAGTAAAATTGATCGTCCAATTTAAGCAAAATTGATTGAATTCAATTTTAATTGATGATAACTCGTGATCGATTAATTGACCTAATACTTGATTTGTGCACAAAAGTCATATGACTAATTTTTTGTCACTACGTCACCCCTGCTTTTTCATTTTTTATAAGTATTTTGAGGCTATTTGTTACACATTATTTATCAAATGAACGCAATACTTAATGTGGGCCAAACTCTTAATGCAGACAGACATGTTTGTGACATTTTTGTGCGGTAGTCTTAAGAGTAAGGTCTAATAATTTGATTGTTGATAAATTTATCCATTAATCATTAAATGATGAATCAATAATTCAGTTCATTCATATTTTTATTTGTTTTATTTTACTTTATTTTTATTTTTATTTTTTTTTAAAAAAAATTCCACGTGAACTAAGCCACGGTACAAATTACAAGGACACTATATACTAGAGCCAAAAGAAATAAAACCGTGAGCCAAACCGCCAAGTTTTGACGATGCCACCCTGGTATTTTATTTTTACTTTAGAAAGGCAGGCAACGTTTAACTATAAACAAAGAAAATATCACGGGACAATCCAACATCTACCGGTTCAAAATTTTACTTGGTCCCGAATAATAAATTTATCTGATATCCGTGTTGTATAAATTATACTATCCGTATATCCGATTACGTTAATCCGAGTGTTGGCGGAACATTGGCAGTGCCGGCCGGCATTAAACAACGCACAGAAACTGAACCGAATTCTAGTTGCTGGTTTCATATTTACCGTGTAATCTATCACTTTTTCAATAGAATTTTTGGCACCTTCAATGTGCCTCGTAGAACTAGCGCAGTCATAATTAATCCTTATTTGTCACTTTACTTTTATGAGACCGTTTATCTTCAGATATCCGTCGGTTACAACATTAGTTTCGGATTATCTATAGATATCCGCTATGTGATAACCCTAATACATAGTGATCGTCCACCACATGCATGGCCGTCGTTTCAATGATATGCATGGCGGATTTCCAGGAGGGAAATGTCATCTATTATATTTCGGGAAAATCGGGAAAATTGCTAACTTAACCGATACGATGACTAACAAATTCCAAGCATAATTGGAAAGTATCCGGTGCTTGATTTAAAAATTCCAGATACAGGGGAATTAATAGAAAAATTTGTTTGTTCTGATATACTTCTATCATACTAACGAAATAGTGTTATCAATAGTTCAAATTAGTTAAATAAATTGCTTTTATAGATATTGTATATCTAATAATATTATTGAATAGAATATTGTTTTAAATAATATGCTGACAATATAAAGAAACAGGTACACTGTTACTTATGATTTCTAATATTTTTAGGGTTCCGATTTATTTCAAGCAAAACTTTTATATTATGCATGTAAAATGCCTCTTTATCAATGTATCTATTAAATTTTAAGAAACAATTTTTTGGTTAGGTTTGTGACGAGATTTGTGAACATACAAATAGTGTGAGAGAAAAACAGTGCCTAAAATAAAATAGTCCTTTATGGTATTTACGTTAAACGTAATTTAACTAATTTATGTAATGCAAAATATTATATAATATAAAGTATTATATAATATAAATCATACAATGTTTTTTTCTGATTACAAATGATGTACGTATAGTATAAAGACCAGACCATATTTAGTTAGATGATCAGACATTTAACGATTAAAGTCGATAAGAATTTTGTTATAGTATGAATTCAATCACAATTTGAGACAATTTCCATATTTTCTATCATACATATTAAATAATAAGTATTCTGGTATTTTTTATTATGCTTAAAAAATAAATAGAAGTGTAATCTTGATATGATAATGAAATTACTGTAAATTGAAATTTTCTTGTATTAAACTGTTTCTATCGTTATCAACAATTGATTCTTGTCATATAAAAGTCTATAACTTCCTGTCTATCAATGAGTCCATTACTTATTCGGTTAATAATGAGACAAATCTCAATATGAATAACATTGTTTGATAGCGCAATGAAGACAAAAAACCACTGATGATCATTTGAGCCACAAAAATACTATATAAAAGTATGCAGTAAACGAATTTATTTAATTGATCTTTTTTTCCTCTAAAAAGTTTTATTCAAATAGAAATGAAGTACAATGAAGGATATTTATACGGAAAAAGAGAACTTGAAAGAAATTCAGATTATACAATGTCTCACAAATTTATCAAAGAGTATTTACAACTTGATGATTCGATCTTTAGTCATCATGATAATTGTTATTATCTCGAAAATTATAGTCATCTTGAATATAGAGGTGGCCATCGGTATCTAAGACCATCTAAATGTTCTAAATTTGTATTAAAACAGGGACATCATCTGTTTTATAATTATCAGTGGACATACAGTTATCATGGAACAAACTCGAAAAACATCAAAAGTATCCTTCAACATGGTCTAAAGATACCTGGAACTCTTGCTGGCGAACAAATAGTCCGGATGGAGCACGGATCAACATATGGAAATGGCATCTATACTTCAAAGATTCCATTATATTCTCAATTATACGCACCGGTAATCAGATGGAATGGCAAGTATTTTCAAACGATCTTAATGGTACGACAACGGTCAGATTCTATTGATGTTCAAGAAGGGGAGGGTACATATACGGTTAGCACGCTTGATTACCTTAATTACGAAAATCTTCACAAGTTATATTAGGGGAAGATTTCAGCAAATGAAATGCAATATGTTTGCTTTGATGAAAGCTCTTGCATTCTACATGCCTTGTTGGTTAAAGTTCATGACTATGATCCAATGGATTCTGATGGTGGTGAATATCGTAAAATATCCAAAATCCTAGATAATTTGAAATAGCAGTTAAGAAAACGTTAACTATTTATATAAGAGTTGATATTGATTATATGAGGATAAGAATAATTTTCTTTTTTTACATAAATTTTTTTTGTATTGAGAGTCTGAAACTTTATAATTATAATAAATACTAATATATTCACATGATGTCTATCTAACTGTTAAAGAGGATTATTATATAATTATTGTCACCTATATATAAACAACAATAGTCCGAAATTTGAAATTTTATTTATTTATATTGTGTAACTTATTTTAAAGTACTTTGTTAAAATATAATAATTGCCGCGTGAATGGTAAAAAATTTTTTTGTCATATGGATTTCCATGGAATTTTTGCAAAATACATAAAAATTACATGAAAACTAGTCCGAAATTTTATGTTTTTATTATTGCTACTTATTGAAATTATCCAACTTTAACCCATAATATTAATAAATAACCCAACGGAAATGTTCAGTACCATGTTGCTCTATCATTTTATCGGTTTAGTTTATTCATTTTACTATTCAATTTATAATTTATAAAAATATGTAGTCACATAATATTAGTGTGGTTTATAAGTGGCAGTCACCATACAGATTAAGAAAAAAGTAATCCAAAAATTCTCGAGTTTCTTTATCTACGGCTTACACATGTATTACATGTATAATACGTAGTATGAAGAGCCATCCTGGTCAAAATCTCGGGTAGTTACTCTGGACGCATCCAAGGTAAAACTAGGGATATATCTGTGGTAGTACCTGAGATTTTTGACCAATTACCCTGGATGTAAACACTACCCGGGATGATTAAATTTTCGCTCCTACAAGATTCATCGAGTCCGCCACCTTCTGCTGGCATTTTATGCATGGGTTCCAGACTTCCGCCTTTTCTTACGTGAAAGTGAGGGTATACAAATCAACATGATCCCCATTTAGTCCCTGTAGTGCTTCTCAAGGCACTAATTCTGCGCAATTCCCCATGGCCATGTGACAAGCTTCTGATTCTTGTTGCGTCAAGTTATTTTATTTTGCGTAACATTTTCATTTTGTTGCACTGGATGCAGTGATAGTACCTTACCGCCAATTAAATAAATTTCATTAATGATCTACAAAATTTCACCCCATTTATCGTAGGATAGAAAACAAGTCCTCCATTTTCCCTATTTTATTATTTGTACCTTGTAACGCAAAGGTTATTTAAGTAAATAAAATATTTTATTTTTATATAGGTACTCCGTGAAGTTCCCATCCAAAGATCTTCAAAACACTTGCAACAAATACTCAATTAAGACATGTAACGTAAAAAAAGAAAAAAAAAAAAAAAAAAAATTTAATTAAATCTGAAAAAAGATAAATCAATAAGCCCCTAACTCCCTAAGACCATCAAATACTGAGGTTTAATAATATACGATTAAGGAATAATTTGTGAAGATCATAATTAATAAATTAAATAAATTAAATTAAATTAAATAAATAAAAATAATTGATAATAAATGAAACAAATAATTGTGAATAATAGTAAATAAAATTATAAAGAAAAAAAAAAAAATTTTTTTTTTATGAAAATTAATTTATTTAGGTGTTCAAAAATAATTGATTGAACATAATTTGATAATCGACTAGGAAACGGGAACCGTTGTAAGTCCGGAGCGAGGTATAATAAATAAAGATGTAGCGATATTCTACTAATTAGCAGCATAACGCCTTGGAATTCCGGTAATTTTCTGCTGATTAGCAGCATAACGCCTTGGAATTCCTGGACAGAGAAACTCACGTGATTGAAAATTTACACGTTATTTCCATAGATCATCATAGTGCGTAGACATATATAGTCCTTCGCTTCGCTCCGGACAATAANCAAAGTATATTTGTTTATTACCTTAGGAAATATTGAGGCTTAATGAACTGCATGATCAAGATATGTTTTAAGATCATTAAAAAAAAAAAAAATTTTTTATGGTCTACTAATACGTTTAAGGATTAATTTGGTAGAAATCTTAATTAATCAAAAAATATATATATATTTATAAATAATAAATAAAAAAATAATTGTTAAAATGAATGAAAAAAAGTTTTTTTTAACGCAAATGATTTTATTTAATCTATAAGCCCCATTAACTAATTTATCAATGACATTATAATGTTTAATTACCTTCTTAGGAAATATTCAGGTTTAATCTTCTCCTTAAACCGCAGTTATTACAATATCGTTAATTGTAATGACACAATGTATATAAATATGGATGATGTAATTATTTATTTCGAAAAAATTATATACATGTTCTAAATATGGAAATACAAAAAATAATTCCCATATGAAGTGAAACAAAAAATATTTTTTCGAAAGTTAAAAATTACATTATGGAGCCTCCCCCTTTTTGTTTAATGTTGAGTATTGGATATTGAAGAATTGGGAAGTCGGCTGTGGAAATAGTGAAAGATTTAAATATATATATATGTATGACATGAGTATGTTAGTGAGAGAAAAAAAATTTTTACTCTTAATTATTTACTCTTAATTATTCTTAAACAAAAAAGAATATGCCCGCAAAAATCTCCACAATGTGTTACATTCATGAATTCACTGAATGACTTACTCAGGAGTTTACGGTAAAGGAAATTACGGCTGTTGCAAGATTGAATGATGATGATCTGACAAAAATTGTATATTTGAGAGTAAAGGTCTCCATTCCGGTAGATCAAAATATATCAATGATTTTAATAAAGGCCAGGTGATTTTCTTGAAAGGAAAGTTTGTTGCTTGCATCAGTTGGTATAGTGTACTGTATGTATTGTTTTGCGCGTGTTCTTTTGAAATCAACCAAAAATTTGTTAATTTTTTTTTATTTTATAAATCATAAACATATCAAAGGTTAATGCAACGTCCGTTAAGTTGATTGATAATATGGGATTCGATGATATGCTTGCGATTGGGTTAAATGTCATGATTATGGGACTAACCACCAAGACGGTCAGAAATATTGATAATCAATCGATTATGGATTTCTATGTAGAGGAAACTTAGGAGATCGGGAACCGAGAGAATTTTGGGTTGAGGTTCGTCATAATGCAAACCTCAGATATCTCGCTAACAAGACTAATGCTATAAGTCAAAGCATGCGATCTACTACTGCTTTGATGGGTACGCTAACCTATCAGATGCCGGTGCTCACCTTTTTTCTTGAATGTTCTGATTTTAACGTATACGCACATGTTTAGTATATTTTTGATTTTCAATCAATACATTATTTAATTTTTTTTTTAATTGTATTTTTTTATTTCATTAATTTTAATTATTAAATCTATTAAAATATTAATCATTTGTTAAAATTTGTCATATTGATTTTATTAGTTTAATGTATTTTTTTAAAAAAAAAATAAATAAAATTTAAAACAATACATCGAGTGAAAAGATTTATTTTCCTAATAATAATTTACACCATTTACGATAATCACGATTAAAAATAAGCTTCCTAACATTTCGCACATTTACGAACTTTAATTTTATTATTAAAATTGAATTATAAAAAAATAATATGCTCTGACCCCCGATCATTGATCCCGTGACGCTATTAATTAATACTCCCACATTTGCTCCCATCAATCTCACTGAGTTATAGCCGGATCTCGAATTAATTTTAAATCTGAAAAAAAAAAAAAAAAATGAAAATATGGTCTGAACCATGCTCAAACCGGAATTTTTAAATTATGATTTCATGTGATATTATTTACAATTTATTAAATAATTATAAAACAATTATAAACAAATGAAAGTATGATTATTATAAGATTTACGATAAATTTAAAAAAGTACAATGTTGAAAATTGCAGCCTGTATTAAGGGATAATTCTGGCTCGAATTAAAATCAGGATCTGCATAATATACAACATTGTAAAAAAAATCAATGATCACCCCGGATAATATTTGCATCCAGGGTAAAATTAGGATGAATCCAGAGTAACGCAAAGAGACATTACATTTCTATTGTTTTGATACATTGTTTGCAAAGGATAAGATAGATGATCTACCTAATAAAAACGTAATATTTGTATGGCGGGTAACCAGATATAGTAGTCAGTAGATCATCGAGAAAGATTATCATTTTAAGGGGCGAAGTCAATAAAAAAAAGTTCGAGTGAACGAACAAACTCTTTAGTCATTTTGTTGTCATTTTTTTTCAGAAAAACATGAACGATTATCGTGCTATTATTGGTATCAGTAAGTTAACACATTATATAAATCTATTTTAATTTTTATTGATTCTAAAATTTTTTTTATCATGAAATTTAATAGATCTCGGAACAACTCATTCGGTACATATTAATGATATTGTTGTAAATCAATATTCGTGTTTTACTTATATAAGAAATTTTTTTTATTTAGAGCTTTGCATACTCATTTATGAACCCGAGTAACATTTGTATCCACAAAGAGTGGAGAGATGGTATTGGATATAAAATTCCAACAGTATTATACTATGATGATGAGTATAGGAATGTTACTATTGGAAGGAATGGGCATGATAGAAACCCCGTTGAATTATTTAAATTGCTTTTAGGAAAAATGGAAAATGAACCTCCCCTGCAACATGGAAAAGCAATTATTGATTATTTTCGCGAATTTGGTAAAATTGTAAAACGAACTATACAGCATGTTGATTTTGATCAAGCTTTAATTGTTTTAACGGTAAATAAGTTTAACATTTGTGAAATTTTAGGAAGTTTTGCTGTGAATTTGGAATTAGAAATATTTCAATTTGTTTTTTAAAATAAAAGGTTCCCGATAATAATACGATGTTGACTCGATCTTTTTTCACTATGAGAGAATACGCTTTTAAAGCAGGGTTGCTGAGATATCCGCTCAGTCAAAATTTTAGGCTTACAACAGAATGTACGTATTAGTTTGTTATGTGATACACAAATATAATATGGATATTAAATATTTTTTTTTTTTTTTGACAGCCAAGGCTATTGCACTTTATTGTATGAAATACTTGAGAGAGCATAATTTATCTGTTGGTGGTAAGTGATATAATTATTAATTTTTTAAAATTTTTTTATTTCATTAATTATATTTTTATAAATTGTTAGAAAAATTTATAGTAGTTGACTGTGGAGATAACACAGTATATTTATCAACAATGCTGCTTTGGAACAATGAAAAATTATGTTTAATATCAGAAAGAATTGAAATTGATTGTGGTGGTGATTTGGCAGATCAAGAATTTCTTAAATTCATAGAACGTAAAATTGGTTCTTCTAGAATGAATCTTATTAGTGAAAACAAACTTCAAGAGATAAAAAATATTTTTGGATCTATCAAATTAAGTTTTACTGGAATTCAATCAGAATTCGTTACAATCAACTTTGATTCAGGTACGGTTAATATATTAAAAGTTTTTTTATCTTTTTTTTTTTAAAAAAAAAAAAAAAAAATATTCAGGTTTAAAATATTTTTTTAGGGTTTGCTTTGAGACAATTATTTTACCGTAATGATAATAATAATAGATGGAATTTTAAGTTAGAATTTGAAGATGTTAAAGCGATAATTGATCCCATTGTAGAAAGGATTGTACAATTAGTTGACTCTCAATTACGTTTATGTGATAATTGTTTTGCAATATCATTGGTTGGTGATTTTGGAAGATCAAAATATTTACAATTAAGAATTGAAGAAAAATTTAGTACAAGAGTACTTGTTTCTAGACCACCTAATTCTTGTACTGCAATATTGAGAGGAGGTAAGAATATAGGAGAGTATGAGTGCATTTTTTCTTTAATCGAGAAATATCAATTATGTTAAAATTTTATTTTATTTTTTTTTTGATAGCTGTTCTGCAGGGCTTGAATTATGGTAAGATTTTATTGTGAAAAATTTTTCTTTATTTATATTATTTAAATTTTTGTTTTCATAGCTAATCCGGATCAGGCTTACATAATAAAGCTTGAAGAAGAAAATAAAAAGGCTCAAGAATTTAATAATTTGTTACATGAGAAGTATGATGGTTTACAAGAAAAGTATGATAATTTACAAGAAATTGAGATAAAATATGTAAATCAAATTAGAATAAATCAACAATATAAAAATGACATCATTTTGAAAGATCAAAGCGAAAAACAAAGACAAAATAATTACAGATTATTATATGATGATTTACAAAAAAATTATGATGATTTAACAAAAAAATATAACGAAGAGATCAATCAGAATCAAATAATTGATGAAAAGTTTAAAAATGATATCAATGTAATTGAAGAAAAATATTAAAATCAAATTAATGATATAAGTCGACAATATCAAAACAATATCGAGTTGCAAGAACAAAGAATTAATCAATTACAACAATTTTTAGAATTGAAAGAAAATAAATTGCAAAATTTGGAAAAAGAAAAGGAAGAATTAAATGCTGAAAATGATAATCTGCATCAAAAAAATACCAATTTAGCGAACCAATTAGAAAATATTCTTCAACAAAATACTATCTTAAAAGACGATGTATCAAATATAGTATCAAATGAAAATATTGATCAAAATTATATTATTAGTTTAAATAATGATATTTCAGAACTAAATGATAATCTAAAAAAATACGTAACAGATTTGAATCAGGATGTTATCGTTAATATGGAAGAAATTAAAAAGCTTTTATTGCTTTATAAATGTCCAATTAAAATTACAAATCAAAAAGATGATCAATTACTTATTCAAGCAGTTTTACAACGCCATATTATTGAGACAATATTATCCTATGCAACAAAATACTTTCAAAGTACAGGACAACATTATCATCTTGAAGCAAATATTGTTAATAAAGCATCTTTATTATCCATATTATTAACTAACATTTCGAAGTATCGTACTGGAAACGATGAAATAGCACATGTAGCAACAACAAAATTGCGTCAGCATATATATTCAATCCTTAATAATCGTGGATTTGCCAATATATATGGAGAAGACCATATTACATATGAGCATCCTTTCATTGCTTATCATAAAGAAGAATTAAACAAAACTATGAGTGAATTACGTATTGTTAAAGGTCAAGAGAAACTTGCATCCGAAAATTTGGCAGCAATTATAATTTGTGAAGTTGTAAAGATATTTTGGTTTAGGTTGAAAGTTCACGAATCTGTTGTACAGTATGTTTGGGTTCCATATAATGTTAAAGTAGATGAAATGTTTATGGAAGGAAGCAATCTTGATGATAATGATGAAGAAAATTTGTGTGTTGGTTTGTGTTATTTTCCTTTAATTGGAAGAGATCTTACATTAATTGACAAAAAAGTTTTTGTTTCTGCAAAAGTCTTTACAAAAAAATCCTTGAAATAATTTATTTGTTAATTCAATGTATTTAATGTGAAGTATTTTAGAATCTTTAAATATTTTAAATAAATAAACAAATAAATAACCAATAACTCATAGTTCTTTATTGTAATAAAAACTAATATTTAATTTATCAAATGCATTCTATGTTTTTTTAAAAAAAAATATGCATTTTATAGTGCTAGTACATTACAATAAAAAAAAGTTAACATTAATAGTTTAACAGATAAAATAGCTTGTAGTTTGTTATATTGTAACAACTATTATGTTAATTTAATGCATAAATTCGTCAGTATTTCTAAGGCCTGATATTCAAGTGTACTTAATGTTCCAGAATTTGCTTATATTTAATTAGTTATAAATCATTTTCACGTTGCTTAATGCTGATCAAATATGCTTTTAAAGAATCCAATAATGAATGGTAAGCATCCATATAGTCTTTTATTGAAATATTCATAGATTCTTCAAGCCATATCTGCTAAAAATATTTCTCTAATAAAGCAAGGTACCCATTTCCTTTATTCTTTGTAAATGTGATTTTGAATTTGGAAAATTTTCTTTAAGTTGCTGCCAATTAATTTTAATTATATGCAATCATAAATGGTAAATTCCGCCATTTTGTTTCTAGCATATTAGTATGACATTTTTCCAAAGAGGCAAAGATGTATGTTTTGTTATGTGTCAAGAGATAATAAACAGTTTTGTATGGGTGTTTAGAGCTTTTTTTAAATTGGTTGATAATTATTCCTAAGCCCCTATAAAAAAAATTTTGAAAAAGCTCCGATAAATGATCATTTTTCTAGTTTTTATTCCGAAGAAACTCAGACACGTGATCATTTTCTGAAAAATTTTTTATAAGGAAGGTGCTGCTTATTGATGAAGAAACAGCAATTTCTCAGGAGATAGAGATCACATTTGGACACAATACTCTTCAGTAAAAATCCAGAATTGGCATATCAAACCTATTAACTTTATAAGTATAATCAACGTCTAAAAATTTACTACTACAATATTGCTTCTGATCGGGAAGCATTTTAATTATTTGAAGTAATTCATTTGTGACTGCTGCACCAACTCTTACTTCGTATCATATATAAAATTATAAATACTGTATCATTAAGTGAATAGTTGGTACATTTACAGCCTGATTGATGATAACCATAATCGGGTCTTTAATTTCTTGAGGAATGATTTTTCCAAAATAAGAAATTTTTTGTATTAAGGAGTAACCGTTTCAGATTATGGTCCAATCTCATACTAGCTAAAGTCTATTATTATTATCAATAATGAAAATGGTCAATTACATTTTTGAGATTTACGATCTCTTGAATTAGTTTTATCCTCTTTACTTTCAGAAACATCTGCGCGTAAATATATTATTTTTCTAGTAATATTTTTTTTCTTTATCATGTCCTACTTTACTCAATCATATCTGAAAATTACAAAATGATGCGTAATTTTGAACTCTTGCCACAAATTCTTCATGACTTTTAAAATATATCTGAAATTTTCAACTCGGGAGATTGTTGTGGCTCCGGTTCGCAGTATTCATAGTTGCTAAAGAAATATTAAGGAATAAGTTTTATATAATTAATTTTTGGTATTACTAATACTAAATATTGGTGAATTTATGATGTAATGCCGGCCAGCATTGTATATGATTTTAATTCAGGCCAAATTATATCATAATGCTGGTATAGTGTCACATGTCAGTATGCAGAACTAGTATATTGATACCTGACGCACGTCACCAGCGTCACCTGTATCTCTTCCATAATAAACAATTTAATGAAATTACCTTTTATTCTATAAGTAAATTTGTAAATCACAATAAATTATTCATATTAAAAAACTCGTAGTATATAAATAAGTTTAACATATTTACATAAGAATATAGATAATTGTAACATGGTGGAGTATAAATGTAAAAATGCCTTCAACAATTTGGTTAATGTTCTAATAAAAAAAAAGAAGAGAGTAATGTAACAAACAAATCTAATTATTATACGATTTAATTATTATACGATTCATGTCTTTTACTAATCGAAGGTAGAATTAGTACTTAGTAGTATTAGTTACAAAGTTTTTTGTAAAATTTTACAATTTAAAATTCTCTTTTTTATGATTTGTAATAATGTACTTTTTCTGCCAAATATTGTATAAATATTATAATTAAAACATATAAACTTTAAATAGAATAATAATGAAACGCTCTTATAAAAAAAATTTGAAGTCGGTAGATAGCAGATAACACAAATTGATAAATGACAAATAGTATCTATCGGCTCATGTGATTAAAATCTTTTAAAGAATAAATTGCTACTAAAATATAGTTCGAGCTAAACTAATGCAAGATATTTTAGATATTTTAAAATTTAAACCATGATTTAATTAGACTAGTTCTAATCAAATGTTTAAAACTTGTGATTCAAACAGATTTATCATTTAATTTAATTTGAACAGTTCTAAAAAAGGATATTAACCGGAATGTAGTAATAAGAATTATAGTAACTAATTAGATAATTTCAGTTTACTAGATAAAAACGATGTAAAAATAGTTTATTTTACTATTTTAAACTGATGTGTTTAATCTGCTACTCAAAACCGAATTTATAAATTGTGATCAGTTCAGTTTGTTGTTCAAGCCCATTGTCAGTCTTTAAAGTTTTTGAATTGATAAGAAAGCTTTATAGGATCAAATTTTCTGGTATTACACAATTAAATTATCTGATAAATGAAAATGCAAAGCCAAAAATATATGCCATAATTTACCAACTATGTACTGAAATCAAATAGGTACATCTCTAATTTATTGCTATTTTGCCTGAGTCACACCGTAAAGTGTCTTTTTTTTTAATTATTAATTATTATTTTATAATAATTCTTTTTCTAATTAAAGAATTATAGGATTAGCTAGTTTATATAGAAATTATGACAATTTGTAGATTTGTAGAGCAATATATATTTATTTTGTTCTTTAAAATTAAAAAATAAAACTTTATATTTGAACGTTACTCTAAATAAATTTTCTCACACTAGATACTTTTCCTGTATGATTTATGAATGTCTTATTAAGCTTTTTATGGTAAGAATGAGGATGCTGGTTATAAATTTCTTATCCAAAATGAGCTTTTCATGAATTTTGAAAGAATAGCATAGTCAATCCCTATAAAAAAACTGGATACGTTTTTTATAAAGTTTTTATAAGATTTTTTTTCCTTAGAAATAACGTATCATGAGAGGATACGGAAAATGCGCAATTCCGTATCACAAAAACGTATCATTTGCACGATTTTATCACGGAATTTACACTGATTTTGTTACTGAATTTACATGGTTTAGTCACAAAATTTATAATGATTTGGTCACTGAATTTACTGCTTAAATTACTATTATTTACTAGTACTTTATTAAATAAAATAAAAATAAATAAAATACAAATATGAAACATTCCCTCCCAAAAATCTTTATTAAAATAAAATGAAATGCATACCAACGTTTCTATAAGATATTTGAAGTAGTCCTAAGGAAAAACCTGTTCTTATAAAACTGTCTCTTATACACATCTAGATGTTTCTATAAGATATTTGAAGTAGTCCTAAGGAAAAACCTGTTCTTATAAAATATACAAAAAAGAAATGTTAATATGTTACTTTGATGCAAATAAAAACCCAATTTAAAAGTTTATAGAATTAGACCTAAGTCCAGGTTCGACTTTTCAGGAGTCTGACGACCTGAAAAACAAAATAAAAAGAAATGTAAAGAACGTTACTTTTACTCAAACTCCTTCCTATATAGTACTACCTACAGTATCCCAGGCTCATCTAAGTCTCCAAAAGTCCAGCAACCTAAAAAAAGAAGAAATGTTACTACATTTCTAATTAATATCAATTCCCTCTATTTAATATATACAGAAATTCTGAGTCTCCAAGAGGCAACATTCCTATAAAAAAAAGCTCAGTGCCATAAAAAAAGAAGAAGTCCTAGCGTCTTTTTTTTATTATCTGTTATTCCTGCTTTCCCCCTTTTTCTTTTCCTCCTTTTCTTTTATATTTACCCACTTCTTTTTTTATCCCTTTTTATCTCACTCCTTTTTTTATTTCACTTCATGCTTTTGTTTTAAAAAAAATAATTTTTTTTTCTTATAGATTCCACCTCATTCCCTCTTTTTTTAAAAAATTATTTTTTTTTATATCACTTCGTTCCCTTTGTTTCCTTATTACCTTATTAGAAGTTTTTTTAAAAAATTTTTATAATTTTTATAATTTTTTGGTTTCCCTCTTTTTTTTGTAGGGCGGTTTGATTTCTTTTCTTGTAGGATGACGTGTAAGATCGGTGATCTAAATAAATAAAAAACGTATCACAGATCATAACAATAAACAATCACGTGGTCACATTTTATGATACGGAAAGTACCGGTATACGGAATGGAAATGCGGAATAATAAAATTATTAACTGTTAAGTTTAAAAATTCAGTATAAATTCCGTATACACAATATTCATTCCGTATACATTAATTTTTTAAAAAATCTTCAAAAATGAATTACTTATGAAATATACGGAATTGTGATACGGAATTTTTAAAATCATATATAAAATGTATACAAAACGTATCATTTCCGTATATAAATTTTTTATAGGGAATGTTTAATTGTTACTTTATCATTCTTGGTATAAATGGATCAATGATGTGGTAAATTTCGGAAAGAATGGCATACTATAAATATGGGCCGATCTGCGGAATTGACCTTAAAAATCGTATAATCATCCATTAATTAATAATTTATAATTTAAAAACTATCACAAAAATGATTGGATGGGCGATACTATCACGTGCATAAAGAATCGTATTATAAATGTACGTGAAATTTCAAAAAAATTTTATGTATTTTACCATTCTATTATTAAATCATGCAAAATTATGCTCAACTAAAGCTCTATTTGAGTGTAATTTAATGATAATATTTTTACAAAAAACGGATTTAAATTAGCCAAATTATTTATTTTTGTAGTATAATATTTATTTTCCCCCAAAAAATTATATCTTTGTAACTTATATTTAAAATTAGGTGAAATTATAACAAAATAATGGTTTAACTAAGGTGGTTCTAGCAATACTAAAATAGAAATATTTATTAACAAGGGGTTAGAAAAGTCACAAAAAGTTTCCCCACTCTCTCTCTGATTTTTGAATAATAAAATTTGCCTAGTAATTTTGAAATAAATAAAAATTTTTTGTTATTACTTAAATTCTTTAATAAAATATGATATAAACAAACAAGAAATAAAATTACAACAAGTTTTGTCTAAAGTCCCAAACTTTTACAACTTCTTACAACTCTACTGAACGCCAAGAACTTTTAGAAAACAAAAAAAAATAGTTACCAACCATATTTAATATGCAAATAACGTAAAATTATCACCTATACCAAAAACCCATTGGAATCTTAAAAGCCCATTAGATTTCGCGTTGTTTATTTGTATCTATGGAAAATATTTTTTATTTTAAAGTACAAAAAAAATTTTTTTTTAATCGGTTGGCATAAAGATGATCATGTAACACAATTAGTTGTGGAATAAATGTCACGTTTTTTTAATAAATTTTATAAATCCTTAATTTCAGCCGATTCTGTAGATCGGCCCATATGCATTGTATTTTAACATTTAATATTTGGTAACACGAAAGCAGCCATTTTTTGCTACAAAAGGTGGTTTTGTCGATCATCTAAGATGTATATAAATATCCGTTATAATTTTTTTGTCAATTTTTTCAGGAATAAATATTTAAACCCTGCTGACAAGTAATTTATCTGCACTATGAATCAATTAAATGCAGAAAATCCAAATTACAGACTATGTGTTCAATGCAAAAAACCAGATGAATCAAGATATTGTAGGTCTTGTCTTTCAAAGAACAATGAGCAAAAACATGGAAGATGTATATTTTGCAAGCAAATAAAAACGGGAAAGGATTGGTGTCAACCTTGTAATTCAAAAATATTCCAAGAAAATTTTGACAATTGGACCAGTGGTAACGATGAAATTGATAATTTCATTCAAAATACTCAGTTATCAGCAAAAAACCATCACCAAATATTAGAGTGGATACCCTATAATAGGTTTGGTAAACCTAATTATATTGCAGAGGGTGGATTTGGAAAAGTATATAGAGCAAGTTGGAAAGACGGCCATATCACACACTGGGATACAAGTTGCCGTAAATGGGGAAGAGTAAACAGTGGCTCCTTAGTAGCTCTTAAAAGTTTGAACAATTCACAAAATGTTACATTGAAATTTATTAATGAGGTATACTTAATCATATTATGTGTTTTATTTATTAATTATAGTTTAATAACTAATTCGTTTAAACTATCAGATTACATTACATCTTAAAGTTCATGAGTATTGTATGTCAGATACGATTATTAGATGTTATGGAATAACTCAAGATCCTAATACAAAAAACTATATTATGGTTATGTATTATGCTGAGAGAGGAAATCTACAAAATTCGTTGAATAAAGAAAAGAAAAAGCAGCATAAAAAGCAAAAAAGTTACAAATTTTCTAATTTGGATTTGAATATTCGGATATGGAAACATAAGATTAACATTTTAAAATATATTGCAGCTGGGCTTAGGAAAATTCATGGCAAAGAATTAATTCATCGAGATTTACATATTGGAAATATAGTATGTAATAGAACTTCGCCTCGTATAACTGATTTGGGGTTGTGTAAACCAGCAAATTATAATGAAGGAAATAATATGATGTATGGTGTTTTACCTTATTTGGCTCCTGAAATTTTAAGAGGACAAGATTATACCAAAGCTTCAGATATTTATAGTTTTGGCATAATTATGTATGTAATTATTTCAGAATTGCCTCCATATTATAAAGTTGCTCATGATGAATTTTTAGCATTAGAAATTTGTAAAGGATTAAGACCTGAATTTAATATTAAAGTACCAAAATTAATTTTACATATAATTAAAAGCTGCTTAGATGCAGATCCATCAAATCGACCTGATGCAAAATATCTTTCAAGAATTTTTTATGACTGGTTAATCGATTTTGATAAAGATGCAATAAGCTATTCAGAATCCATCAATAAAACAGAATTAATTAAACAAATTGAAGAAGCGGAACAAATTAATAATAATTCATCAACTAACTCATCACCTTTGACGATACACCCTGAAGCTATTTATAAAAGTAGGCCATTTAATTATAAAAATCTTACTGAACCAAAAAATTCTGATGGTTATTATGAAATATATGATAATATATCAACAATGAAATATTCAGGTAACAATTAATCTTTATTTACTTGTTTGGTTATTTATCAAGTTATTTGTACTAACTGCTAATCATTTACAGAAAGTCTTCTAAAGTCTGACAAAAGCGATTGTTTAGAATGTGAAATTACTGATTGAATTAAAGTTCATTAACAATAATATCATTAAACTTTCTGATTCATAATTAAATATCTGTAAACAATCTTATATATAGAGAGTATATGTAGTATTTGTTCAACACTGATTATAAAGTAGTATTATGTAAATTTGACTTTTTTTGCATAATAAAAATCAGTTTGTAATTGAACAATATATATATTTATTACCATGCGCATGCAAATTAATAAGTTTATTTAAGAAGGTTTAAGAAGGTGTTCATAATAAAAGGCATATTTTATATATAAATTTTTAAGGTTATATTTTACTAAAAGTATGTTGATATATGTTTAATTTATAGTGTTAGTATATTTATAAAACATTCTGATGTTTGAATATAAAATTTGGAATTCTAACACTAGTATTTTATACTTGTTTAATCTATAGTATATCTAATTTTTAACAAAAGTTAATGACTATTGATAAATATAAAATAGTGCACGTCGGTGGGATCTGCTTGTAATTTAAAAATCTTTCAATAAATTATAAGTTCTCTAAAGGTTTCTATAAATTAATACTAGATCTTCAAAGAATAATTTTCGATAAAAAATTTCTATAAGAAACTTGAAAAAAATTTAACTAAGATCATTCATGCGATCAATTAGCAGTTATGTCTTATCGTGAAAACTAAGACCCTATGTTATATTTGCTATCAACTTAGTATAATATATATATACCAAATTTTAAGATCATGATCTTTAGAGTATGTATTATACATAAAAGCAAGTCATATCGGTAATAAAATTCCAGTAATTAATCGGTATTTGATTGACCTTTACCAATCAAACTATAAATAATTTAAAGCCATGAACAAATATCTTGTTTTTTTCTAAATCTCTTGGTTCCATTCAATATCTAATTTTCTCCAGGTAAAAAAAGAACCTACTTTAAAATTTTTTTCTCTTTTGAAAAGGATTCGAAAGCAATTTTTTATAATTCATATTACAACACGCGATGATTTTTAAAAATCTCCTAATTAATCATCGATTAACATCAATCTTACATCGTGCCACAGAAAATTAAATATACAATCCTGTGTTTAACTTAAATTTTTTTTTTCCAACCGATCTAAATTTTTTCGGTTCCCCTTATTTTTAATTTTCATTTTTTTTTCTTGAACCGATCTTCACAAATGGTTCTTTCTTTTTTTTCAAATTTCTTCTTTTCTCGAAACACTTTTTTCTTTTCCTATTTTATTTCTTTTTTTTAAAAATTTTTCGTTTTTTTCCTCTTTCTTTTTTTTTAATTCTTTTCCCGTTTAGATTTGGTTTTTTTCCAAAACCGAAAAATTATTATTATTTTTTTTTTATTAAATAATCTTTTAAGATTTATATCATTTTTTTCGGTCTTTTTTTTTTTAAAAACCGATTTCTTTCTTCTTTTCTTTCGATTTTTTTTATTTTTTCTTTCTTTTTCCTTTTCGGTTTTTTTTTTTCAACCCGATTTTTCTCTTTGTTTCTCCCACAAATTTTTTTTTTAGTTTTTATTTTTTCAAATTTTTTTTTATTTTTTTCCGGTTGGCTTCTTTTCCAATCCGAAAATTTTTTTCCCCTTTTCCTTTTCCGGTTTGGCTTTTTTTCTTTCAAACCGAATTTTTTTTCCCCGAATACATTTTTTTTTTCATGACAATAGATCGTTATAATTAATCTTTTTGAGGTTTTTTTTTCTAGAGGGTGTAATTTTTTTTAATGCTACAATGGAATTTTTTAAGATAAAAAAAAAGATTTTTTTTGTAACAATGTAACAATAAACTACTTATACAAAATTGTTTTTGTAATGAATTTGTAAATTTCACAGTACTGCAACATTTGTTTCGTACGATAAATAAGATTTGCATTTAATAATAATATTATATACTGTACATATACTAGATTGTGTAATTTACTACATTTATTTCCTACTAATACCATCATGATAATAGTTACCTACTCTCTTGCTTGATGGGCAAGTATCATCCCCGGCGCAACGCGACGGGTTACGCCTAGTTTTTTTTTAAAAAAAGATTTTCATGTTATGAGTAAAAAATACCCACAACTATGAAAAATTTAGACAATTTTTCGCCACCTTTTTAATTTTAGTTAAAAATTTTTACCTAATTTGCCAAAATTGAATAAATTTAATTGCCGATCTAGATTATTTTGTGTATTTTAACTAGTCTTTTTTTTCATAATTTTGTTGCCGCTCTTGGTATCGTTGCAACACAAAAAAATATGTTATTAATTCATATGTAAAAATTACTAAAAAAAAAAAAAAAATAATGGTGAACGCTATTTTAAAATGGATGAAATTAAATTAAGTGATGATGTAATTGAACAAATAAAAGATTTTAATCATAATAATCACTTGACTGAAGAACAGGAATTATCGTCAATTAATAAACTAATAACAGACAAAGAATATGGTTTGTATAAAAAATGTAAGCAGCTTAATACTGATTATTATTATTGTCAATCATGTAAATCACAAAATTTTAAACAAAACTTCATAAATTGGTATGAATTTATTCAAAAAGCACAATTAAAAGCTAAAAATGAGAGACAAATAATAGAATGGATTGAATACAATAAATTTGAAAATATTGAATATTTAGCAAAAGGAGGATTTTGAACTATTTTTAAAGCTGTTTGGAAAGATGGTCCTTGGGAAATAAATTATGGAAATGATCAATTGGAAAGAGAAGGCAAATTAAAAGTTGCTTTAAAATGTTTGCGTAACTTAAAAGGCATTACAGCAGATTTTTTAAAAGAAGTAAGATATTTTTCATATAAATCTTCATTAGCCTTTATAAATGGTTAAACTAACTATAATTTACTTTTTAAGATTGAATCAAATATTTTGGTATGCGATACTGGTTGGGTAGTTCGTTGTTTTGGTATTACTAAAGATCCAAAAACAAATGATTTTATTATGGTAATGGAATTAAAGATGGTACAACATTTAAATAATAATTTCATTTCACCGAATTGGAAGCAAAAGTTGCAGAATTTATATAATATTGCATATGCCCAGTAAATAGTTTTTGTGTAAATTTATACCAAACGGGCTCATTGGCTCGAAATTAGCTCAAATTTATGCAAAAAATAATCCAAATTTAAGCCAATCTAGAGCCAATTATATATGGATGAGCCCATTTGGTACAAATTTATACAAAAACTATTTACTGGGATGGTCTTAAAGATATTCATAATAAAGGATTAATTCATCATGATTTTCATTGTGGAAATATATTAAGTGATTTTAATACGGGAAGTTTCATCACTGATTTAGGATTATGTAGACCAGTAAATGTCAAATTCTCTCAAAATAATAATAAAAAAATATATGGAGTATTACCTTATGTAGCTCCTGAAGTTTTAAGAGAAAAGAATATACTCAAAAAAGTGATATTTATGGGTTTGGAATCATTGCATATGAAATTTGTACAGGTTTCCCTCCTTATTATTATATAGCTCATGATGAATCCTTAGCAATGAAAATTTGTAAGGGAGGCCAAAGTCTAATTATAAAATACCTCAATTAATTTTTGATATTATTAATCAATGCTGGGATTAAGACCCTTTAAAACGACCTAATTCAGATGAATTACTGAATTAATTAAAAATATTAGAATGGGATAGTTATGAAAATTCTGTAATCAATAAACAAACCGAAGAAGCAGATGAAATTAATAAAAAGTCATATTCATTACCATTATCATCTACAAGTTCTACAAGTACACTCTCATATATGATACATCCTCAAGCAGTTTATACAAGTAGGCTTTAGATTTTAAAAATCTTCCAGAACCCAATAATGCTAACAATAATAATGATTTATTTGGAATAGAATATTCAGGTAATTATAAGTAATTTCATATTAATAATTATAATAATTTAAATTAATTTTATAATGCTAACAACTAATAATATTTATAGATTCCTTAAGAATGGATTTTACTAAACTTGATATTAATTCCAAAGGTAATTACTTTTGCATATGATATTTTTGATCTATTAAGTATTTAATTAAAATATTTTTTTATTATAGATGAAAGAAATCAATAAATTTGATCATATTAAATTATAATAAATAAATCACTAATAATTCAAATTGTATAAATAAGTAACATGGTTGAATTAAGAAATTACTGTTCAGTGATACCTTTATTACAATAGAATACACCACTAGACTAAATTCATATATTAAATATGATTTCATGTTTTTTGTGAAATCAGATTAAATCTCAATCACGGTTTTTGTGAAGACACCCACTATTGTATGATCAGTTAAATATTTGATTTTAGATAATTTTGATTATATGATTAATTATTATAATTAGTATTTGAAATATTTTTTCTTATAGACTCTTGTACAGTCTTTCTTTTCTTTATTTTCTTCAATAAAATACGAATGTCTTTTTAAATTTAAATATATTATTTTAACTTAAAAATATTAATTTAAAAAGTATTACATGAACTTTGTTTTATTGAAAAAAATTGAAAACATAAAAAACTCTGTTAATATTACATAAGATAAAACCAATCAAACTCACAGTCACACGTTCAAGCTTTCCTTAAATGTTACAGGATAGTTCATAATTGAGTCATTTTGAAAAACACAAAAATTTCTGCATATAATTATAAAATTTTTCTGAAGAAAATTTTTTTAAAGATCCCAAGATCCCAGACCTTCATCTTAAAATTTTTTTATATTTTATTCATTATTATTTTGATTTTTATTATTTTTATGGATTTATTTGATGGTCACCGGAGGTTAATTTAAAAAAAATTCACCAGGGGTGATATTCACCGGGTATTTCATTTGGTACACCTCATGATTGGCATCATTTTAATTATATTATCGCGTAATGAATGTATTTATGTATTTATTTTTTTTAGGGACTTTAATGTTTCAAGGTAAATGCCAATTTACTTTTTTTTCTGCTCTTTTTTTTTTCCTCTTCAATTGAAACATTATTAACATTTCTTTTTCTTTCCCTATTCTTTAGAATAGATGAACGGCTCTGGAAATCAACCTCTATTTTTAGTTTTGCAAGGTAAGTGACATTTCGTTTCTTTTTCATTTTTTTTGTTTTTTCTTGACTTGGGAACGTCACTTTTCTTTCTATTTTTTTTTTAGGAATGGCTGAATGACTCTGGAAATTGAACTGTATTCTGGTTTATAAGTAGGCGGCATTTCATTTTTTTTCATTTCTTTTTTCGTATTGACTTGGGAATGTCACTAATGTTCCCTTCTCTTTCTTTTTTTTTTAGGAATGAAAAAAAAAATCGGACAAAAAAAATTAATAATCAAAAAAAAAAATTTCTGATTAAGGTAAAATTTCATTAACTGAAATTGGATTAGTTGATTGGAATGCACATGGATCTATGGTATGGGATTTCAAGTTACACAATTCAAACTATTTATACATGCTAGTCTAAACGTTACGGTTACACATTGTATTTTTTTAGTTATATAGAATATAGATGAGTGATTAGTGATGACTAATATTTAAAATTATGGTAATAATGTAAAGGTTTATTCTGTAACCACTTTAGGTGTGGCTGATCATTTCCAAGATAGTTTAACAAAAAAAAGGTGATATTCTAAATATATATTACGTAATAAGAAATTTTTCTTTGATTTATGATTTTTGCTGTGCAACAATGAGGCTGATGATTGTCATACATTCCAGATATATGTGCAAAATTTGTTTGTTATACATATAATGCTTGTACTTATGATCAACGTTTTTGCGCATAATGCATTTTGCATAAATATTATTACCACATAGACCTATACTAATAAAGGCATTTAATAATAAAAATAATAAAGATATTTACATTATCTGTTCCAGTCAGAAAGAATTTTAATATAATTATATAGTAATGGCTCTTAGTAATGATAAAGGTAATAATCATATATATAATATAAACATTTAATACAATTAGAATTCTAATAATTTAAACAAATTTACAATATAATAAAACTAGTTTCTGATAATATTGAATTAGAAGGAAGCAGTAGCTCTAAGGAATTCAAAGAAAGTGGCTTTGAAGGATTTGAAAAAAGTAGTACCAAGGAATCTAAAGGTATAATAACATGCGTGCTAAAATATTAAATTTTTATTTGTAAATACATTTAAATACTATCTATAATTATATCTTATATAATATTCAAATATAGCTCGTAAGTTAATAGGTTATCTTATAATTGAATAATAATGGAATTACTTACCATTTTTATTACATTTCATGCAATTAAATAATTCATTTAATGATTAATAATACTATAGTCAGTAAGTTATTAGTTATTTAAATTTTTAATTCTTTACTTGTTTATTTTACATAATATTCAAATAACTAAATTCTTTATTTAATTAACTATTTAATAATTAATTGTATTACAGATGGTAAGTGACAATATCATATTTATTTGTTTAATATTTTATATAACTCAACTAATTATATTCTTAATTTAAACAACCAGATTGTAAGTGATATTTAATATGCAGTAAATGCTTTTATATTATCTTTATATTTAACTAATAATTAATTAATAATACTAGGGTGTAAGTAATAGATATCTATATTTCTATTATTTATATTATTCATATAATTTAAACTGACTAAATTCTTTATTTAAATAGATCGTAAGTTATAAGTTATTTATTTAATTCTATTATTACTTATTGTTATAATATTTAAATATAATTTAAATTAACTAAATTCTTTATTTAAATAGATCGTAAGTTATACGTTATTTAT